GGGACGGGCTAGCCATTCCTGCTGTCCAGTCGTTGACCAGCCACCTAGTTAAACACATTCTCTGCTTTGTTGCGAAAGGTCATAGGATACGAAAGACTGCTACCAGTCCATTACACTGTAACAACTAAAAGCCTACTTACCTTCTCTGTAACGTCGGAATGTCTCAGGACTTGAGTTAATCAGAACAGCCACAGGTCCGTGAAACCCCACTGCTTGTGTCATGGCTTTTTCATTATATAACGGAACTGCGACCAGTCCAACGATCTTTGCAGCCACCTTGCTCTTGTCAAACAAACATTTCGGGTTGGGTCGACCTGTTCTACCAGACACGTATGGATAGTCGCGCTCTTGCTCTAAACCACCTGTCTGATTGATGTACCGATAACCCCAAGGTAGATAGCCACCATTACAACCTCTCGTACCATAAGGTAAGCTGCAGTCAACCACCTGTTGTGGTGACAGTGTGTAGAGATTTCGTCTGTGCAAAAAATAGTGTGACTCGATTGACCCAACGATGGCGAAAGCCCAACAGCATCCACAGCCTTCCTGATGTCTGACTGGTGTGACTGCGCCATACTGACGCCAGTCGATAGACTTTGGTGGTTCCGCCGAAATCATCTGATAAGTGGATTCGAACTCTGTAGTGTCAGGAAGTTCGAGGTCAGAAATACAATTATGATTGGACTCTTCCGAAGTCTGTAAAAGATAAAATATCGATTTCAAACAGACACTCACCTTATCAGAGAATTCATTGATTCCCAACTTGTATAATTCTTTACCTTTATTGTACGCCATATTGTGTTTTCTTATAAGAAGAAAGCTTCTACAAAACAAGTTCATTCGTTTGGTTTCTTCCTTCGAATCCGTATAGTTCCGATTGAATTCATGTTTGAATTGCTCCCAGGCAATATGAATGGTGTAGTTAAGGTGTTCGTCAAGCGACTCCATACACCTGGGTGCATTGTCTTCTAATATGAGATCCATCTTTGTGTTGGCAGTGAGTAGAATATCCCATTCGTCGAGTCCAGACACAACACTGTGTACGAACAGGGCTAAGATGCAGTGATTGTGCACAAGGCCATAAGACATGGCACCGAGCGTGACTTGCGTAGGCTTGTTCAGTCGAGGTTCAAAAATGAATAACTACGGTGATTCGAACTAGTATATCAGCTTTACAGAATGAGTTTCGCGCTTTTCTCAAAAATATTTTCAGTGCGTCCTGGATGCAACTATACAAAACATCCAATTTATTGGCCGGCGATCCAAAATTGGACCAATACAAGGAAAGTGAAAGTGGAGAGCAAATTCGTTTTATGACAGGGTTAGGCATTTAGCACCTAGATTGCACACCAGGTGTTATGAAGTCGCAACAGAGGCACAACGAGTATGATCCCATTATGCCTACACGCTTTCGAATAATTGGATGGGACAACAGTGGGTGGGGTCACACGCATGTTTTCTGAACTGCTGAACTTGTCCAAAAGTAGGCGCACATCATGGGGAAACAATAGTGAACAAGCTAGGTGTAATGTAGATTGCGTGATTGCCCCAATATGAATAAGCGTAGGTTGGTCTATTGTGATGAAATCTTGAGTCACATTTCCTGGATAGTCGGTAGACTTCAGCTCATGACCTTCAAATTTGAATGAAATTACAAAACTACATTTCGACTCCTTCAACCGGGGGAGGGGGTACACACACCTTCGCCCCAAAACAAATGTGGTGACACCGTAAGCAAGAACCTCTCAAGACCGGAATCATTCATCTAAGTGTTTGCTCTGTCACATATTTACTGACACTCGTTATTAGTGCGTCCTCTATCCAAAATGCAAATAACGCTGGAAGGACCAAACTAGCGCTGTGCTGGGAAGCGCGCTGTCTATCTTGCGGGATGCAAGTAGTGAGCCATACGATTGAAGCACGGAGTGACGCAGCGTTCTGGGACATTGGGACCAAGGATAACGTATGGCAGACAAACGACCCAAGGTGACCGCTTTACTGGCATTTTCTCATGACCTAAAAAAGAAAGTACATGCGGCGCTAAAACATAAATACAGTTACATTAATGTTTAGCTTCCTACGGTTTGTTCAGAAAGAAAGTTTTCTTCCACAGAGAGTCCAGCTACCACATAATTCCTATGAAACTGGCGCTGTTGCCCGGAATACGAGATATTCGGCGCATACACTGGGTATTATTGGAAAATATGAAGAACCCATAAATTAGTTTCTCCGATGGACCGAAACTAAGGCTGTCTGCAGTATGTTCAGGTGATACGTATTTGGCGCTTTTCGCTGTTAAGAAAATCAGAACTGGTAGAAGAAATCTTGCGAAAGTGTAAATGGCACAATATTTGGTGCGATTTTTATGACAATACCATACGCTTGTAAACAGAGCTGCTCAAACTCACCAGAAACAAAAAGAACACCAATTACGAAGTTTGGATCTGGCCGCGAATTAGCACAACTGAATCGTCTTACTTCCGGCAACTCCTTCGTACGAATTAGGAAATAAATTCTGCGTACACGAACGCCAAATGTTTGAATTGGAACACATAAGCAACAATGTTGGCAAATTTTTACACACTATGGAACATCAGTACGGAAGACGACAAAATAATGCGTTCCTTTGTTGTCACATCACTGTTCACCTCGATCAACCACAACCTTACCCGAGGAACCATAACAAAACTGCTTTGGAACAATTCATAACCGACAGAAACCATGAAATCCGAAATTCTACACAAGCTGTTGGATTTTTGCATGAATACACTACCTTTGGTGCACAAATACAGCAGCAGCTATAATTGACTACTATAGAGTTGGTAATCTCGGGATTTATCGCTGCGGTGGTAATGCAGTGACTAGAGCGCGCGATACTACCAATCCTCAATCCACCGCATATGATTCTGAATGACTGTTTATGATTTCAATTTGATTCGATTGCGCTAGTCTGTGCGAACTTGTTTTCCCTAGTCCACTACAAAGCAGTAAGCTAAACAACAACGTGTATCTTTAGTCATACAGACATTTCTAATTCATTCATATGATACAGGCCATACGCCATGTGAATTATCATATTTGCGTGAGATATTGATTTTGATTGCTGAACAAGAGAAATAGAGTTAACCAAACGAGAAATCACGTCAACACGTCCAAGTAATCTGCACAGAAAAATATCACATTGGTCACACATGCCTTCTCAAATGAACGGTCTTCAGTCACGTACCCATTCTACATCGGATTGTGAGATGTTAACCAAGCTGTTGGTGACAGTATCATTATCGTTATCATTATCATCATCATCATCATCATCATCATCATCATCATCATCATCATCGGCAGCTTCACTGCCGTGGCGACAGTATACTCTGTGTTATTACAGTTACGGAATTTGTTTAAAGTTTGGCGGCAATTTTACTGAGCACTGCCCCATCGTGGTAACACAGCAGATTTTAGTGTTGCATTCCACCAGTTTGCAAACGAATCGTCCAGCTCAGCAAACAAATAAACGACCACCATTACGAACTGAGCTATCAATATTCTATTCAATTAAAGGAGGTTTTTGCTTGATAGGGGGCAGGTATCTGTAGTCAGCCTGGCATTATCGGAATAGTGGAAAGTGATATTTTCCTCCGTGAGTTTGTAGTGAGCAATCAAGAGAGGCCATTATGAAGGACAAGTTACATCCCGGGGTTGACGAGTAAGGGAGGTTACTGATTATTTAAAGTATATAATCCGGCTGAACTGATGAGCTGCGTCACACCCCGCCGTTTGACACTGAAATCTGATCACTTCCCATATTGTATAGTAAAATCTGTATAATAGAAATGGGGTCTTTTCAGGGATTACATGTGTTTTGAAGCAAAATTCATAGTTTTTGAATGACTCAATGACACTCTCTAATTCTCGAGGCCTCCGAAAATACTTGCATATCGAATGCCACAATTCAGCACAACCAGTCGAAAATCCTGTCATATCAGCCCCTGCCAAGTCGTGTTCCACGCTCTTTCTTTCGAGTCAGTTTTGCTTGGGACTTACGCTCTAAACCCTAAAATTCTGATAATGTCCAGGAGTTAAATAAAACATTCATGTAGGCATGTTAGCGAGTCAAATAAAGGTACTCGTACCTACTCCATATCCGCAGTTGGTTACGTTACTCACATTTAAGAGTAACATGAGTTTAGCCCAAAAAAATTAAAACAATTTGTAGCATGTCGGGCAAAGCTCATTATTGCATTAGTTGAAATACACGCCGTCATTTTAGTGCAACAGGCTATAGAAGTTACGTCAACACATAATCCTCAAATAATGGTTTTCGACTACAGTTTATTATAAAGCATTTTGAACATCGGCTTAAGATTCGACGCGCCCCGTCAACAACTTGACTCCCACAGTCTCTTCCACTTTACAAGGTTCGCTCTAGTTTCCAACTAAACTTATTTGGTTCCATTTTCTCCTATTCTGAACAACCACATGTAATTGAAGCGGCTGATTTTTAAAATGCACATACCCCTCTTGATCCATTGTTTACCTTACACTTGTGCAACCTGGGCCACTGTACGCAATCAAATACTACGAAGCGGTGCTTTCACCATCCGGCATAGCGATAAGCTGTTTATCTTTTGACTCTGGATATTGCAGCATTTGGGACCTCCAAACGGTAATAAAACCTGTAGTTGCTTTTTTTTATTTGGAATGTGTGTGACACTACGTGTGTCATGTGTTCAGCGATACTTTTACGCATCATGCTCTGCATTTTTCCCATCTGAGTATCAAATTTTTACCATATAAGGAGGTAGTCCGAATGTGATCGCTTGATTGAAATATCCAATATGGTGTCTAGAAAGGAATACCGCCCCGGGGTCCAAAGTTTAGCAGGTTGTAACTAGAGGAGCTGGAGGTCTGGCGGCCCAATTAGCTTTGTTGAACGCAGGTATGGCACAGTAGTAAAGTTTCAAGACCAGAGTGAGTCGGAATTCAAGTTAGTATAAAATCGGCAAATATATATTTTACCGCTCTCGTTTGTGAACTCTGAGGTTTTGCTGGACTGTAAGACTAACGGAATCAAATCTCACTCTAGTCGATTTTCATAAACAGAACACAATTTTTGGGGATGTAGGAATTAATTGATAATAGAATAAAACGATTGTGCAAAATTTTCGATTGGATTGTGGCTCGAATTCAGTCATACCAGAATATTGTAACGTGGGATACCTATCGTGCATCACTTGGGTTTGTTTAACTGTACTCTCTTTGGGGACCTATTTTTCCAAGCATGCGGCGCGGTTCCAGAGTTGCTTTTTTGTTTATGTAGTAGAACACTGAGAAAATAAATGCAAACGGATAAGAAGGTCTTTGAAAAACTATTGTTCCCCGATACATAAAGTCAATTAGGAGTAAACCGCCCCAAATTCTGTTCTTTGGTTTTGGCAGCTTATGTTATGCATTACTCGTAGAGGATAACCATCTCTGTTTCAACCATCTCCGTTCAGAGCTACAGCGATATTATCAATGCTAGCTGTTAATGATCAGGTTGACAAAGATACCAATTTTCTCAAAAAGCTTTTATATCGTCGGAAAACGCAAGTAATACCAGCTTGTTGGACGTTTTCAGTTTCTCTGACGCTACTTTTTTTCAGATTTGGGACTTCGATTCTCCCGTCTTCAGGTTCTTAATTGCGGACTGCCCTGAATAAAGCCCATTTACTGAATGTAACCATTCAAATGTGGGATCTGGTAGATGCACACACCGAAAGCCAACATCGTCTGGATTGAACCGTTTTCCGCCGGTTTCTCCAGGAAAACTCTTTACGTGTAGGAACCTGTGCGATCCACTGGTTTAAACGTAAACGTTCTGAACTGTCAAGGCGCAGATTCTGCATCAGCAACTGACTCCCAAGCTGCTCACTGTCAGGGATATGTTTATTTTTGCAACGGAGGTTGGTCAACGTTTTCTCTGGCCAACCACAACTCAGCCGATTGAGAACTGCGTTGATATGATTGGAATCATCCAGCGAATTGCGGTGAATGTAAACACACAGCAACACCCATTCATTTCCAGACCGATAGCAAATTAAAATGCAATCTAC